GAACAGTTTCAAATGAATGGTTTCTCTCATGCATTAACATATTATTTATTCAACAACTTTATATGTGCATGGTAGTGTCCTCAGCCTGTCCAGACAGAGGAAACAGCCTATTGAAATACAAATCTTTTTGCTGGTATTTTAACACAAATCTGAAAGTTCTACTTTACACGTTTAAGAAGCTGTTACAAACTGTCAAGCAAAAAATATGCGTCTTTTGTGTGTGAATTAATGAGGCTTCCTAAAGACACAAAATGTGTCTGCACAGAGCACACTCCGCTTGTGAATGGGGAGCAAATAGGGCATGGCAAAAAGCATTTGCAGCTGTAGTATGGGACTTTGTTCTGAAGGGTATCCTCCAGAAGAGGGAATGTTTTCCCTGTGCTAAAACCAGCGGAGACTGAATCAGTCCTTGGCAAGTCTGGGTAGAGGGAGGAGCAGGAAAAGAAATGGGATGGGGGGAGCAGTACCCTTCCTTTTTCCTGGATACTTTTTCAGAATATCTCCAGATTTAATGATGGAGCGTATTTTCAGGCAAGAAAGGTAGACTTTGSTCATACTCACCCATGAACCAGAGTCGTCTTGTGTTCACTACCACCACATCATCCCAAAAAATTTTTAGCACCACAAACTTCATGGACTGCAACTGAGCATGCAAATGGGAGTCCCATGTCACTGGGGTGGCAAGTGAATAAAGGCTAAATTTGGGGGTTGGTATTGAGAGAGATTTCTGTCTAGTTCGTGTGCCTCATCACTAAGTTTGGTGGATCTCTCTCTACTCCATAGTAAATGACATGCTCACCATGGTTTGAGAGTTTTGAAGAATTTTGACCTATTCTCAGACTCTGCATTGTGGTTCCCTAAGCAACAACTGCTTTAAAGGGTGTGGGAATTAATACATAATCAGCTTTATATTCACAGTGTAAAACCCATATGGTATTAGGAAAGGCTGAGAAAGTATCTCATTTTCAGTCTTCAGCTCCCTGCATTTTCCCTCTCTACAACTGTTTAACTTTCTCTCTTGAAGAYCAAAAACTTCTTGTTCTCAGGTGTTAACTCTCCCTTCTGTCTCTCCATTTGCTGGCTAGAAAGACCTTTCCAGATCTTTTTTCTCACTGAAGGAATGGGAAAGGGGATCCCATTCTACCTTGCTAGCCTAAGATGAACAAGAATTGGTCACAAACCCTTTTTCACTAGGGGATTTGTTGATTTCTTTAAGAATATGTTGAGAAATGGAGTTTGGTGAACTTCCAGGAAAACATTGACTTGTTTCCTATGAAGAACCAATGGACTCATAGCACCAAATGGGCAGTGTGCTGGAGAAGGGATTTGCACAGGGAAGGCTTGGAAGATCTTGGAAGAACTGGACCTGGAAAGATCCAACTTCCTCCATGTGCAACAGAGAGCTCCAGGAGCTATATCTCACAACAAAGTTTCCTCACCTGCTCTGTACTGGGAATGTGAACGATACCTGATGTATTTCCTCTTGATATATGTTGAAGCAGCTAAGGAAAACTCACCCGTATGAAATGCTTTAACTCTTCAGCATTGCACATGCACACGTTCTTGAGGCATTTGTCGCTCAGGTGTCCTCCAAAAAGCAGACTGTGCACATGCRCTTCAGAGTCCGGGCACAGACTGCCATCAAACGGGTATGGTGGTCATCATCAGGTGTCACCTGCAGCATTGCACCTGCAGAGCTCAACACCTTTCATTCAGGGTGACCAACAATGGCTGGATGAGCTGAAGGTATAAAGTCCCCCTTTGTCCCGAGCCTATGGTAACATTCAGTCCTACTTCCATGTCAAGATTAAAGCTGCATTTTAACATATACATCGAGGAGACTGTGTTAAAAAAAAAAAAAAAAATCTAATATTATGCTTTTGAATAGAGAATTTACCTAAGTAAATAATTATTTTTAAACCCAAGATTTAGGCAGCTTTAGTATTCCACRTTATGCTAATGTTTGACAATTACTAAGTGTGGGTATCAGCCAGTATTTTTTTTTAAGTTTAATTTAAAGCAATTTGACATGGAAAGGTTATTACTTTAGTTGCCAATAAAAGCTGTACTTTTAACATAAGTGTACACCAAGCCCTAGGGTATGTGACTATTATCTTTTCTGCAATTATGTGGTGTTCTACATAAATGTTAAAAAAAAAAACTTAGAAATATCAAAAGTACTAACTTAGATACAATATAAAAGTTGAATAGATAAAATGGGAAACCCAGCTCCTGCRGACACAACACAGGTTGAGGTTTCCTCCTAGAGGTAATGCTGGGAACGGCGCCTTCGGGCTTTGCCCGAAAACAGGAATTCCGGCACTACCTTCCCTGCACAAACACCGGGGAGGCTGAATATTGATTTCTCTTCGAAATATTCCAGCTAAATACAGATGTTTCCACTTTTCAACTTCACTGTCATTTCCCAGAAAGACGTCTTCTTTCAAAAAGTTTCATTTTTTTCCCTTTTTTTTTTCTCTCCTTTTTTTTTCTTTTTTTTTGACTTTTTTTACAGGGAAAAGGTTTACAGGGAAAAATCCTTCTTCAGCTTCAGGTTTTACCTGAATGGAAATAGCAACAACTCACCACCCACTCAATTTCTGTGCCACCGCAGAGACCCCACGAGTGAGATCCCCCACAAGTCCCAGTGAGCGAGATACAAAACCCAGGAGAGCACCCAAGCCATTGCCCCAACTCAAACTTGTGCCTGTAAAACCAGTCCCCAGATGGGTCTCCAATACCCGCCAGCCTCAAACTGCTGCCCTTGGTGGCATGAGCTTGCACCTCTCCTCCACCTGTAGCGTCAGAGCCCGAGGGGTCATAGCTTAGAGCCAGACAAGTTCTAATCTAAACACTCACAGCTGCTTCGTTAAGAGACAGGCTAGATTCTTTTCCCTTGTTTTGAAGCCAGTCTGTTTTCCTTTTCTGTCTGGGTCTTGTTTATAAAGCTAATTTGGACCTTGTGAAAGTCACAGTATGACCCTTGCCAACGGAAAAATGTTCTTCCCCAAAAGAGCAAGGCAACGAGAGCCCGGCCCCGCGCCGTCCCGCCAGCGCGCCGCAGCACGGACGTACAAGCGTGAGTCCAGCCCCAGCGCTCTGCCCAGCCCTTCATCTTTCCACCGAGAAAGTGAGAACATTGGTTGTAGCTCCAGTGCCAATTGCAGCTCATGTTTCAAATTAGCTCCGGTTTGTTATTTTACACTTTAGGTAGGAGCCGCAGTGAACTGCTCACCAGTGACTGTATACAAGCCCCTCTAGGATGCCTTGGAAGAGCTCCTGATGAGTTCACCAATGTTTGCACATTAACCTCGGGAGGCGACAGCAGCCAGGGGGATATGAGAGCCGCACCGAGCCCTCCAGAGCATGACACAAAATGATGCAAGTGTGGGAGCTGAGAGAGAAGGGGTTGTGTGAGCCCAGAAAAATAATAAAACATTTAAATCCCTAATTGTTTTTCTTGCAGATTTATCCAAAACTGAGCTCTCCATAAGCCCGTGAGCTTGCAGAGCATTGTCAGTAAATTAGATCATGCACACAAGGCTGTGATTTTAAGCCAAAAAGCTCTAGCCATGAGTCGCTTAACAGCAACACTCCCCAGAAAAAAATGGCTCGAGATGAAACATGAGATATGTATTAATTATCAATGGTCTAATAGAAAATTTAATGAAGACAAGTATCTTCTTGCACTTTATCCACGATAACGATGATAGTACGTCAGCGAGATGCATACCTTACAAGGGGGCTGTGAATGTCAAGTCTGAAGCCATTATAGCAATTCACCACAATAATGGCTAGCCAATGTATGGGCTTGTAGCACTTAATCAAAGTAACGACATTCATCCACAATTATTTATGTTATGGTAACAAAGAGCTGCCAAATGCAAAACAAATGACATGAGGATTTGCAAGTGGATTCTTTCCCGTAAATTCTCCTTAGGTTATGCTTAAGAGCCCTCAGGATGGAAGACTGTATAAATTCAAAGTTATCAATGGTGTTGTTATTGTGACACATTTTACTGCCTATAAGCAATGCACGCTATGGCTGAAATGAGCTGCTTAGTTGGTATAATCTTATTGAGAGCATTGGGATTGGTCCTGMCATGCACCTGAGTGTGGTGCTCAGAATTTGGCAGAGAAAAGATAAAATTACAAGAAGATTTTTACTTGCATCTGCCCATGAAYCTGCCTGGAAACAAAGATCCGGTTGTACCAACACTTACACTTGCATTTTACTTAAAGTATATGAACAGTCCCTATTCACTTCAACGGGCTTTGAATTACAGCCGTTATAATTACTAGACATGATTCTCTGTTAAATGCAGTACTTTTCTTTTAGGGGCATTAACGTGGGTGTTTGTATAAAAACACTGTCAAAAACTAAGAACAGCAGTAAATATAGAATGGCAACATTCAGGTTCAAATGCAATGAACTAATTTATTTTTTTTTAACATACATTCAACTGCTTTTCACCACTCACAGATGTCACTGAAACAACTTGAATTAAAAAAATAGCCTAAGAACAATACACCGCACAGACCAGCTAATATTCACTGCTTTAAAAGCACCCCCCATTAAACTAAATAATAGCCAAATCTTACTGCAGTAAATGTGCCTTTATATCATTAAATACTAATTTAATAGAAATCTGAATGCCTAGTGAAAAACATCAAAATGTTTTAAATGAAGGATTGCCTTTTTTTTTCTTTTTGCCTTATATGAGTCTCCAAAGCAACATCTGAAAGAAGAAAATAACCATTTCATATTAGCCAGTCGTTTATCCACATGGGCCCAAATTGGTATATAAAAACTCATAGAAACTCTATAAAATACTTTTCCAGAGTGAATTATGCAAAGGTACCTGTTTATATATAGCAGATAGAAATCATGATGCTGGGAAATGCAATTCAGCTTAGCGACTGAGACCTTTTCCTACCTACTCCTGAAAGCCTAGAAGGTTTTGGAGCTGCTCCGGAGGAGGAAAGCATGGAGATGCTCCTCACCACAGGCTCTGCCCACCCTCGATGACCAGGTTGTGGCCTGTCATGTAATCGGAGGCTTCGGCAGCCAGGTAGACCACGGCAGCCTGCAGGTCCGTGGCCCGGGCCAGCCGTCCAGCAGGGATGTCCTGGAGCCAGCGCTGCACCAGTGGCCCCAGGTCCTTGGAGTGGATCAGCGGCGTATCTACGATCCCCCTAGGAAGAGCACACCTGATTTATTTTCTGCTAGTTCACATGCTTAGAGGAGTGATAATTACGAAAGAAAACACCCAAATAACTCAAAGGGAGAGCCCCAAGTTGGAGCTCCTCCATATCTGCTAAAAGGCACAGCTACAACCTTGGGAAGGATCTCCTTGCTCGTGGCCTTACACTGCTGCTGGACAGACTTACAGGTTTTCTCCTAAACTCAATACCCACRTATTGGATCCTTGGCACACAGAGGTGCCACTCCACTTTTAGGCTGATGATGTCCTATCCAATTTCCCTTTCCCTGAGGAAAGGGGCACATCACAGGACCGAGGGTGACTAGACCCGCTTCTGTGGCTGTGCCTGGGAACCTCTTCCTTCTCCCAGTTTCTTTTTCAGCGCTTCACAGTGCAATATTGCACGTCATGTTTGGGTATGACCGAGCTCTGGAAAGAGCCAAACTTCCCATGTGTCAAAAACACAGCGAAAACAAAAGCCAGCACCTTTCCCAGCCTTAGATCCCCATTTAAAATAAAACTAACAACAACAAAAAAAAGGGAAATACTTCTAAGCGCAAGTCCACATAATAAAAAAAAGCTTGAGAAATCACAAAACATTTACCTGTCTTACCGAATTTGCCTAAATGAGTGACTGCACCATTTATTAAAACTCTACTAAGTTCATTTTATTCAGGTGCCCTAAAAATGAGTGATGCTACCGAAAGAACAGTGTAGGACTAACATTTGGCTGGCTTTTATGACTTTAACCACAACTGATCTGTCATACTCCTCCCTAACAACATATTTGTATTTTGTGAAATGTATAATTTTTTGCAGCCCCTGAACAAATATATTTACATAACTGTGTCTAACGAGAAATTACATTTAACTTCTCAGAAATGACAATAACTAAAACCTGAACTGCCAATTCCACTTCATTAGTGTGGTAGAAATGCATTCCAAATGTTAATAAAAATTCCAACATGCTGATAAATTAGCGCTTCTAAGGAGCATGTGACACCTTGGTTAACATATTCAACCTCAATTATATTTCTCTTCAGCACCCTGTTATCTGGAACCTTTGCTGGCAATCAGAGGTGCTGTTTTTCAGCGGCCAATTTTCTAGATAATGTAGCTTATCAACACTGTGGGTAAACTTGCCAATGAAATCAGGCTGCACTGAACCACACACACGCTAATTGCATCTCTTTTTTATGCATATTTACAGACTGTCACTTCAAAGAAATCAGTGGCCCATTGAGGCAGCCAGTTAGCTGGAAGAATTGCCTCTTGCAAATGAAAATTAGCAAACAAGCTAGTGATAAATATGAAATGAACAAAGTATAAAAATACCCGTTTTGTTCTGAAACTTCATCGGCATCCCAATTTATACTTCCAAGGAAATCGTGGGTTTTTTTTGAGGCACACTGGATTCTGGGTATGCGATTTACCTTTTGTTTTAAATGATGTCTGAAATCTTCTTATGACTCTGGGACAAAGTGGAACTAATTCAGACTTTCCCCCAAACATTTTTGTTTCCACTAATCAGGTAGGATTTAAATATCAGCTTTATTTTTTTTATTTATTTATTTTTTTTTCAGTCGTCAGTGAAAAACAAAGCAGTTCAGGAGCGCTGAGTGACACAGCTTGCCTGCTCTCCAGCAGCACAGTGAAATCAAATGCTTTCTAGAACAGGTCTGCAGACAGTTCACTTATTTCCCCCAAACACAGTCTCTTGCTCTCTTCCTCACTCAATCAAACTCCTTGAAAACTGTTTTTTCATTTTTTTTTTTCTTTCCCAGAGACAAACGTGCTTTGAGCAGCAGAAGTGAAATATGTTGGACTACTCTTTCTTAAATGTCTTCCTCCACGCTTATAAAATCATTGGTAGAATCATTCTGACTTTATGCTGTCCAAGATCAGAAAATCCTGTGATCTTTTTACTTGGCATATATGCTTTATCCAAAGGGGAACATGGATTAGGAAATATGACACTTATTCTTCCAGCACAGCAAGTGCAAATAATATAGATTTTACTAAAAAGAGGCTTATTTTTCATCTATTTGAAAACCTGAATCTTGTTCTAATTGTCACCTATAAATTACAGGACAATATTCTTGGACAATATTCTTCAGGTGATAGAAATGTTGATGCCTAACAATAAATTTCCTCACAATTTTTTTGTTCTATAAAGGAGGGAAAAAATATAGCACAAAACTTAAAAGTTGCAAACACACATACTGATGGCACTATAAATATTAGGCATGTCATTGATACTACACATCTTCTGGGAAAGCTTCGGTGCCAAGTTGGGCAATTTAATGTTGTCGAACCCTTTTAGGCAGATTTTAGTTGGCTTCTAACCAGTTCCAGCAAAGACAACTGCCAATGCATTAATTCCCTACCTCATCTTGTATGCAGTGCTGAGCCTATCAGTACTTTCTGTTGCATGTCAATGTAATATCAAACTGCTGGTTCCTTAACATTAGATCTGAGCATCAATATTTCATTATTGATACACAGGACAATTTGAGGCATTAGGAAAAAAAAATACAGTTGCCTAAAACATTTCCACTTCGAGAGACACGTTAGGAAAAATATCACTTACCAGATACTTAACTGGAATTGTTACGTGCGCTCAATCCCCAAATGAGAGCAAAAAAAGATTCCATCTGTGCGTAACTTGATTTCTTTCAGATGAGTTATTAATTTGAATGAGTTAAGTACACTCCACTTAATCAGGAAGTGTTTAATCAAGAGATCCACTTAATTGGGACATCTCCCAAGGAATTAGATTTAAGTCCAAAGACACTCGCCAGCAACAACTGCTGCTTAATGGGGATAGCAGTGCTGCTTAATTGGGACACCTTCAGGTACACCCAGGTCCCTCAGGGAAGACTCCACTACCATTTTTACTTTACATGGTATCAGCAGTGGGACCATCTATGAGGGTGATGAGAAAGGTGGGCACCAAAAGTGTAATAAAACACAGCTGAGATTTGAGAGAAATCCGATTAAAGTGTCACGTCATTAATAACCAGGAGAACATTTTGCCCTCAAAAAAAAAAAACCTAAATGAAAATGGAGCTGTACTGGGGAAATGGCCCTACTACATGGCTTACCCAATTGGCAAGAGGAGCCCACAGGTTCGATTTCAGGAACACATTAAATCCTGCTAAGGGCTCTGCCGTAACATTTACTCATTCATAACTTTTATGCATTGCTCTGCATAAGTTTTATGCACTCATTAAAAAATTAAGTTGATAAAAAGTGACCAGATAGGAAGAGGGAAAAAAAGGCCAAAGGTTTGCATGGYGAAATGATGTGCGAGGCCAGGCTGGAGTATCTGCGGCTGAAGGGAGAAGCATGCAGAGAGGGCCATAAAGCATCAAAGCAATAGCGGGTGGGAAGGTCAAAGGACTTAAGGACGCATTTATGTATTTTATTTATCCAAGACCACTCTTGGGTACCACTATGCCCTATATCTACATCTGGGCATCCCATGAAGCCCCCCCACATCGCCTGCAGATGCCCCATGCCAGGATGAGCCTGTTCTGGAGACATGATGCAAGACTTCAAGGTCTTGGCAGGGTCCTGAGGATGGTCCAAACCTGCACTTCTTATTTTTTTAATTCAGAACGGGATTGAAATGCATGTTCACATCCCACGCAGGGTAAATATTTAATCAGTGCAAGGAAYTGACCGCGTTCACTTTCGGTGCAGCCACTGCCCAGTTCCTTGCTTTGAAACCCTACGTGGAGCTCCCGGCAGCCTCGGCCAAAGCTTTGAACTACTGGCAGGAAAAAGTTGCCTGGTTACCACCACCCTTCATTCCACATCCCAGCTGCATCAATCAGAAGCACCATAGAAAGAGCAGGTGCCCTTGAAAATGGCAAAATCCTTCATCCTCTCTGCGCCCTTTCAGGCTATTCCTCCACATGCAAAAAACCCACTCCCTCTGATAGGATTTGGGGCTCAGAGCTGGAGGTTAAGGAAGGCAAGGTTGWTTATAACACAGTATATTTTGGCTTGGAAAGTATTTTTCTATTTTTTTTTCTTCATATGTTAATTCACAAAATGTTACTTCATCAAATATATGTTTATAACTTATGCAGCACAATGAGTTTTGATGCTTCATTGCACATTTAAATCTTATTTACCCCCAAAATCAGTCATTTCTCACCTAAGTGCCTTCTAAACATGACTGCTGTGAATGCAGCACTCCTGCACCAATTCCCTTTASCAATGCCGGCTCCTAAAAGCAGGTGTAAAGTCCTGCTTGTGTGAACACTAGTGCTAAGCTCTTAGTGTTGACATGGAGAAAACCCTACCAAGAAGTAAGACAACTTTTAAAGACCCTATGGATCACACAGAGCAGAGGTGGAAGTCACTGCTATAATCAGCACTAAATAACCTCAAGGAATGAGGAAGTAGAGAGCAGAGCAAGAGGAAAACCAGGTACTGGCCATTGAGCTTGACGATTTTTTTATTATTACTATTCTACTTTGTGGATTAAAATGTGTAATTTTTTTTTCCTAATTTGCTGGGAATTGTATCTTCATTATTACAGCTTAGCTTCTGTGTTAGGATCCCGCTCTTCTTACTAGCTCTGACTGACTCCCATGGCCTGTGGGATTTGACCGCTTCAAACTAGTTCTCTTCACTTGGGCTTCCGACCCACAGTCTCACACGCTGTTAATTACCTAATAACATGTCCATGTGGTGCATGTGTGTGAGCCTGGGGGGGAGAAATGGTGCCTGTGGCCAAAAATTTGCCTCAAAAACTAATACCACTAAATAAAAAACACATTCTCCCCAAAATCAGGAAAATGTAATTTGTAACAAATACATATATGTATATTTACAAAATTACACCTGGTCTTCTGTGATTGTCAGAGCTGAACAGTATCTCAATTACAGTAGTAATGTGGCTTTTAAAGTGCCTGTATATTTGTCTCAAGTAGAAAGGGGAAAGAAGTATTGTCTATTAAGTGTCAAAAGCCTTTTCTTTAACCGTGGAAGGCTTGGACGGAATAAGGAAATATTTCATCTGGAAGAGTAATGCTAAAAACTACCCTTCAAGTTATTGGAAAACCTATTATCAAATGCTAAAAACTCTTTTTAAATCCCTGAGTATACACAGCAACAGAGCACACTCGGCTCTAAGTGTTTAAACCTTTGTTAAGGAAAAGACAACGTGAAAAGGGATGCAATCCACCTGCTCATTAGAAACTTTATTTTCCAAGATACTGCTCGTTTGAGCTTTTTACAACATTTTGCTTTCTTTGTACTTCCAAAACGAGCCTGTGCTTTACTTACGGGGAAATGCAGTTRACTCTTACTCCTCTGTCAATCCATTCGGTTCCTAATGTCTGTGTTAATTTTACAACCCCAGCTTTGGAAGTGTTGTAGGCGAGCTGCTTCTGGGGATGCGGAACTAGGGGGGAATGGAAACAGAAAATTATTTAGTCTCCACAAATGAGTACATGTCTGGGAGCTCAAGCACTATGTGGCCAGTTCCCTACATTAAGACAATATATTTGCCATTTACACCCATGCTTGGCAGAGAGCAACAAGAATTCAGCCACCTGCCACATCACAAAGTTCTAAATATGTGTTTTCCCAGCTAATATTTTTGCCCTATCAGCTGGGTGTCTGAAAAGAAAATTATGGAAAAAAAAAGAACATACAAATTAAAAAGCTCCAGTTTTGGGAAAAGTCTAAAATAATGCATTAAGCATACACAGGCAGGTATGTTTTTTATAAGATAAATAAATATGTATGCCTGCACAATATACGCAATAGTGTATAATATATGCACAATTATATATGATACGTATATWATAATGCTAATATTATCTAGTGTAATAGAATATAATATGCATGCATCACAGGTTTTATATAATATATTATATATAACTCCCTGGAACAAATTATTMTACTTAATTTTTAAATTAGCCACAGTCTGAAGCAAACACCTCACGTTATCTGCACAATGTTTGCATAGATGTGAGCAATTGTGTGTCCCCTGGATCCAGAGCACCCACCACAGCATCGCCAGTGCTCCAAGGTGTCACACATCAGTCGTGGAGCAAAGCAACCAGCGTCCTGATGGCAGCGCTGTCCCTGCAGCCTTCCCAGGAAGTTATTTGGGGACTTCTCCCCAGCGAGTGATGCTGTACCCAAAAGCACCTCAATCACTTGTGCAAGGCATAGTAGGCAAACCCCACCGCACATTGCTAAAAGACAGTGTACGACTGGAAATGGCAACTGGCATTAATTGCGTCTGAATTTCTGCAGTTGGGTCGGTCTACTTCACTACTATCCATGTTATCCTAGTGCTTCTATGTACTTTTACTAGGAGGTAATAAATGCAAAGCAATCAAGGTAGCCAAAAAACTCCAAGGAGTGATACACCATCCTGCAAGCATCTCAGAGCAGGCTAGCACCTCTGCCTTGAATTTGGAAACCTGTGAGTCCATGCAAAGGGCATTTGGGTTTGAGACCACAATAAGTATTTCCTCTTCTTGGCATGTGCCAAGCAGGAGACCTTGTGCTTGCAGCAAAGGGAACGTTTCCCGGTGCGTCCTCCGCACTGCTTTTCCCTTCAGTACCTAAAGATCCTCATTCCTGCTGGGAAAGCTGCCTTGCCCTCGGCACGTGTCCGTCACCCCGCAGATGCGACGCTCCGCGTGGGCTCTGCAAGGTGAGGGCAASGCGGCTTCTTGATTAATTGCTCTGCATCAGCTCCACGTTATGGACAACTTTGGTAGTTAACCCTGCAACCTCCCCAAAGCAGTTCTTTGTTAAAATTTCCAAACATGTCCGTCTGTGATAAATTGTTCAGTATTTGCTAGAAGGATGAAAGTTTTGGCACCTTATTTGCCCTCCTAGCACAAGTAGGGGAAAGTGGCAAGACTTTGCCAGGCAGGTGCTCCAGCAACGTTTGCGGGAGTCCCTCCATACAAGTGTCTTAGTCTTCTTGGAAACAGCTAAGCAAAGTATTTCAGAAGGTGCAGTTTTGCCCTCCTGAGTTATCTGGCCACTCTTAACCGTAAAGACTCCAGAAGGAGCCAGAGGGTGTTGGGAAGCTCTGGGTTTGCAGAGTCCGTTGCTGTTGAGCACCCAGTGCTGCATCCTCCTCCCTGTCCTTCCAGCTGAGCACTGAAGGATGAAAAACGTAAACTCTTCAAACTTATAGAAAAAGCTTTGAATAAAGTCACATCCCCAGAAGCATTACAAAAACTACTGGAGTTTGCAAGGGTCCTGGAAGGGGAGTACACTCATTTCAATTACAAGGAGAGGATGGGAGGAGAGCAGATAAAAATGCTGCCAGCATCAGCTACATCATATATTAAACACCTGACACTGTTTTTGCCACCCTGTTCGGTGCATAAGGCTCCTAGCCTGACCTTGAAGCAGCCATGTCATGTTAATGAGAGCAGATATGGGAGACCAGAGCACTTACGGCTAAAGATATTCAGGGTGAAAATGAGAGACCCGAGTTACACCTGGACAAACCRCGCACAGCCGCAGCCGTCGCTTCTCCGCGCCGGTAGCGTGCCTGGAGTCGTTCCAGCCAAATATCAGAATCAAAATGCACATATGCAAAATATAGGCAGCTTATCTTCAATTAATTAAAGCTGATTTGGAGCAGCGTATCTGAGAAATCACAAACAAATCTCCCTCTCCTGCTAAGAGACTCCTCGTTTTCCTGCCTCTCGCAGGAAGGACTCAACCTACCAAAGGGAAAAGAAAAATATCCCCTAACTATTTCTAGAAACATTTCATACTATGCCAGTTGGCCAACATACTTAAATAACCAACCAACCAACATATTTATTTAACATTCAGCAGATGGACATGATATGAACATCGTGGTTTGCAGTTATAGTTTTATAACTACTAGAGTTTCCCCATGCCAAGATGGAAACAGGTTCAGGAGGTAAATGCATCCCTGCCTCGGCTCCCGGCTGGACCAAACCCGTGGGAGCTGCTGATGCTGATGCTCCAGTGCTCCTGGGGATGCCTATGCCAGGATCACCGGAATGGAACATCCCGCTGGGATGCAGCGCGAGCTGCGTCCAAAGCTCCCATCCCGCACAGCCAGCACCGATGCCCCTCTRGCAGTAGCATTCCCAGCCAGCAGCCTCCCCACTGGGGAAAATTTCCAGTGCTCTGTAGCTCTTTTTCCAGCTTTGAATACCTCCCCGTAAATTCTGCTTTATTACCCCGACACGGGCTGCAGCAGAGCCCTGCTGTGCACAGCACAGCACCAGGAATGGGCAAATTTAATGCAATACATACTTCCTTCAAATTACTTGTTTTTGGGGTGTTTTGTAACTCCGCAAAGCCGGGCAGAGGGATGGCGCCTGCCTTGAGCAGTAAGTAAAACAGCTGGTACAGACACTTGAAAAAGATTAACAACAACATTATAAATGATTCTTTTTTTTTTTTTTTTTTTTTGAAGAAACATTTAAAGTTACTGGGTAATAAACTGAGCAGAATGTCAGAGAATGTCAAACTGGGCACAGTAAAAATAAATGTTATTCCCAAGGAAAATAAAAGACCGCATATTTATGTAACATTCAGCAGATGGACATGATATTAATGCAGGGGTTTTCGGTTGTACTTTTATAGCTACTAGATTTTCTTGCCTAACTTGGCAACCTGAGGCACCATTTGATTTTTGGATTTGGACAATACTGCAACAGATGTCCAGACCAATAAAATAAATTCCTAAAGGGCTATGCTTAATTTGTGTAATTGATCAATTTTTGCTGCACGGGCCTCAGCTCACCAGCATGTAGCTGCCTTCCAGATTAGCTCAGCAGCAGGGATTTCACTCCATATGCTGCAATGGCTTATTGGCGCTTTGGACGGCGCTGCTGATTCAGCAGCCTTGCTGCAGGCACCTGTTGGCAGCGATGCTGCGAGGAAGCTGTGGGGCAGGACCGAAACATAAGTTTTTGGGCCACTTTTTGCCTGGCAAGGGCAGATTTTCCCATATTGCCCCAAATCAGGAGGGAGGGTGGAAGAACCTCGGCCAGGAGCTCGGTGCTTTGGAAAGGCCTCCGCCTCTTCTATAAAAAATAATAAGTGCTTTAAAACATCGAGGATGGATAAATGTTGAAAAATGATATCAATAAAAATTTTGTAGTACATTTCCTCTAATACAAAATGTCAGTGATTTACTCCTTCCCAATACAGGTTTAATTGATTCAAATGGCATCAGTAGTAATTAAAATATGGATTCTAAAGCACAACTGTTAGCTCTCATCACTCACCTATTAAACTTGCCATAGATGCTGTGTTAATTATCTTCCCATATCCTTGATTCAGCATAATGCGGCCTGCAGCCTGTGACAGAAATTAAAGGAAAGACCAGTGACCCTTTTTGTGATTGTGCTAATAATGACATGATAATAAATTAGTCTTCACTTTTCAGAAGAGTTTATGTGCGAACACGTTTTTTTCTAAGCACTTGATATAAAAACTTGGTATAAAAATGGCTGATGCAGGAAAAAATTTCATTGCCATTTCAGTCCTTCTTTGGATTTGGAAATRATTTTCAAAAAAATGCTAATGTTGGGAATGGCCCCCTAAAGATTTCTGCTTTTTAAGAAGCTTTGAGTATCCATTCTTTAAAACTCAGGCCAAACTTAAATGCCTGAGTTTGGGCAGTCAGTAATTACCAGTTACTTTTGAAAGTATTGATTAAAATCTGTAGCCTGTAAAGAGCCAACCTCTCCTTAACTCCACCAGAACTAGGATTTTCTTGCGATAACTAGAAACTGACTATTACTAAATCTTGGTAAATTCTCAGAAAATGGTTGAACTTCTAAAAAAGTAAGTTTCACACTTACTTGACAGCACAAAAATAATCCTCGCAAATTAACGTTAAAAGTTTGGTCCCATTCCTCTAGCGAAGTATCTTCGCTTGCAGAATTCATGTTGATTCCAGCATTGTTGCACGCGATGTGGATTGTGCCCCAGCGAGCTACGATGGTGTCCACAACCCTTTGCACCTCCTCGGGTTTGCTCACATCTGCTGCAAGGGCAATGCTTTTAATCCCTGCATTGAAACACAAGTGATTAATAGAGTATAGGAATTCAGAGAGAAAAGAAATCATGGACTATTTTATAATTCTTTAATGGTTCACACGTGTATATAATTCTTTATTGATTCACGTATATATACATATATACACATATATATATATGTTAATTTTTTTTTGTATGTCATCTTAATTTGTAGCTGCACAAACAGTAGCAAATTGTGTGTCTTATTCTAGCACATTTAGTTCATTTTTTTTAAAGTTACTAGCTGGTATGAGCTTCGCCTGTCAGAGGCTATCATAAAGCCAGCACCTGCAAGAGCAGTTTGGCAGTGCATGAGGACGAAGCTTTGAACACTGCACCATCTTCTGTCCATAGATTCAACTGCAGCTTCCCACTACGGAGTAATTCCAGTGGTCGGCTGGGCACTGAGGACCGTAGAGACCATCACAGGCATTGGTTCATCAGCCGAACAAAGGAAAAGATTCTTGCGCTTGCTCTAGTGCTGATGTGTCCGTACCAGCTCACACCATCAAAACTAGAGAAAAATCCCAATTTGTCCAAAATTCTATGGGTGAACTACCACATCTGCACAGCTTGTGGCAAAACGATGCTGGTCCGAGCATCCAAAAGGGAGTTACAGCTGCTAGAGAAAGCTCARCCCGGAGCACTGGGCTGGGGAAAGGCTGGCTCTCATGAGCAGGGCTCCRACAGGGGCTTCCCATTTTGTTGCTTTATTAACAAAGACGGAATTGATCAACAACTTAAAAATATATAATCTCTGAACAAGAAAGCTGTTTTTTCCAAGCAGAACTAGGTTTTTGAAGGCAAGGACATACCATGCTGCTCCAAGGGCCAAGGCTCTCTAATAAGAACACTGGTTGATTCTCTTCCTCCCACTCAGCTGCGTATTTTCACTTAACTAAATACTTAGGAGAACCTCTCCCAGACTCAAGCTTTTGAGATACAGGCTTCGAAAAATAAGAGGAAAGAAGCTTCMAGATGGAGAAGCTCCTCTTGATCTCCACTGCCTTCAGGACACAAGGTGCTGCTGGCCTGATCTCCTCATACCGGATTGGGGGACTAACTGTTCCTTCTGGCCTTCAGCCATATAGGGGCTTCCTTGCTTCCCACAGTGGYGATAAGGACAGAAAAACTTGTAAAAACGACTGCACATCTTACTGAAAACAGGCTTTCTTATTTTATCACAGGTTATGTTAAAAATACTTYGAAAGAATAAGAAAAGCCAGACAGTCCTGGTTGCTCCTCCTAATTGCTACCAAAACACGGAGACACAGGGAGTTGCTGCAATTTTTCTTACTCAATTTACAGACAAAATGGGTGCAAGAATGTAACTAATGGTAACTGAATGAAGCTCTTCACCTGCCCTCCAACTCTCACCCCATTTATGGCTTCATCTTACACAACAGTTCACAAAAACAAGACAAAAGGTGCAGGTATCTAGCAAAGAAGCAGTGAAGGCACTCTTGCTTCAAAACCAGAGCCCCACACTTGACCTTAATCAATTCAGCTGATATCCCTGCACTCTGAAAGAAATAAAAAAMCAAAAGTATATGGCCCCTCAGCCATATGCTAAAAAGAAATATAAACTTTGGAAAAATAGCTTTAAATTGCTAGCATGGTTCAGGAGTAACAAACCCAAGGCAATACCCTGCTGCTGCACATGGAAGGATGCTGTGCACCTTTTTGGCCTTCAAGGAAATTTTGCAATGCTCGTGGAAGCAGACTGGGATGAAAAGGAGGCAAGAGCTCAGGAGTTATGTGTGGGAAAGGAGCAAGAAGGGTCTGTCCTTCTGCAGCAGACACATGCATGCCCCCCTGACATGAAGCTCGCTCTCTGGACGTAGTTCTCTGAATGGTCTCTCAATATAAAATAATAAATAGACAAGAAGATGACAGGTGACATTGTGGACAAGGCATTTGCATAGTTTGCAGTGAAAATGCCACTTCAAATATCCCACCAGASTAATTCTCCCCTCAAGGTAAAGGCAAAAACTCCCCCTGAAGAGAGAGGGGAGTACGTAGTGAAAGACAACCCTTAGGTTTTTTTGGTTATGTTTCATCATTTTTGGTCTTCTGTCAGGATCTATTAGGAGCGGTTGAAAAAGGTATTATTCACTTAGGATTCTAAAAACAAAGACCCCTGTGGTCAAGGGAGWTACCCCCAAGCTGTCTCACAAAGATAAAGCTGAGATCACAGGGCTTCTGATCTTTAAAACTCATCATGAAATGATGGCACTATCTCAAAGGACAAGAAAGCACTCTGGTATAGGAAGCAAAGTGGGTTTAAGAAAGATACCTAAAATGTTTTGAAAAAAAGTATCAATATAGGAATAACCAGGAATACTGTATTTCCAACTTTAAGAAAGAGATCCACAACCCAAACAGGCAGKGTAGAAATCACAGCTACTTTGTAACTACTATAGATGGAAAAATTATTAAAACTACAGTGATTGCTTTAATTTACCTATGTGATTTTTTCCAGAGTAAAGGCAGTTGAGCCTTTTTATCAGAATGTATTTCCAACAGACTACATTGCTTCTTTGAAGACAAAATATTTCTTGGAAACATGTCGATTCCAACAAAAGTTTTCAAGAGAGGGCTTCCGAGGTCCAATCTAGTCATTCCAGTTACCTCTGAAGAGAAAGAGATTGAAAACCTGACCTTTTCCGATCCGTTTCAAAAAAATGGGCATTTAGATATAATTCCCTTTCACTAAAGCATTTCAAAGTTTGGGTTTAGTTCCAATGAGGAATGACAATAAATTTGAAACCTCAAAAAAAAGCTGTCATGAGATGGAGTAGATGTGCCCTGACCAGTTGCACTGGTCAGGCTGACAGAGAATATTTGACCTTGAAGGATAAGGATGTGAGAAGACTGAGAAGTGAGATTTTTCTTTCTTTCAGATTGCAATAATATTTGCAATGCCTCGTGACCCTTACGACTGCTTTTTGTAACACCCCGCTCCATCTCCTCAGGGTTGGCAGCCCACCAAAGAAGCGGAAATACAGGACATCCATTGAAGAATGGATGATCAAGCTCCTACTGAAAATGCCCTGGAGAAAAGTTAAGTTAGCTTTCTAATAGACTGCTGGCATCCATCGTCTCATGGCTCTTTCAAGTAGCCCATTTCTTTCTGAATAGCTCTACTTGATATGCAGGATCTAACTGTGAAAAATGTCCAAAAGGCAAGTTAACTTGTAGGGCACAGCTATTGTGTGCCAAGACCATATGGCTTCAGTGCATAAGAAAATGAAAAGCTTCAGGGAAAGAGGAACTGTATGACTCAAGAATTTGTAATAAGAGCTGAAGACTCTCTGTTCTTGGTCATTATTGGGGATCAGCCCAATAAGCACTGCTCTAACTAATTAGACCAGTACTAATTATAAAATGTCTCACAGCACTTACTGGAACTGGGATTGTATGGACTGGGATTTTTAAATTTTTGTTTTATATTTTTTCTGAGGAGGCTCAGGATGGTACCAAAACCAGAACTGAACCAGTTTCCAGCCTGGAAATCAATTGAGGCAACAGGAATAAGTGAGCAGGGGATGGCTTTGCTGGAGAACATGGCTTCAGGGGTGCAAACATACTTGAGTTCAGCAGGAAAGTCTGACATTGGCTTGGGCAGAATGGAAACTCCAGGTCTGAATCAGTAGATCACTACTCCTTTGGTCCCTTTCTGCAACCATGGTGGACACGAACACTGCTGTCTGCACCCAAATGGAAACTTGAATATTTCCTGAATAAAAACCTGTCTTTAGTGGCAATGAAGTGTTCTATAGAAGGGTTAGTTGTAATCTCACAAGAGGAATTATAAAATGAGTAACACTTCCTTTCTTTTCTCATTAAAATTATATTTCCAGTTTTCTTTTTTTCCCTTTACAGTTGCAATTTAGCATGACTCTTGGGGGAAATTCAATTTTATGTTACATTTTGTGTTTTTACTGCTAAAATCAAAATGTCTTGTAGAGGATTTTACTTCTTATCTGGGATTTTTGTAATATCTAGTAGTATTTTGTTCCTATATCTGATCTTACATGAATACTTGAAAGAGTGACAAGGCTTTGAAAAGTGACTTTCCCTACCTCAGTTTGGGAGTACAGTGTTTAAAYGTTACTGATTCCCAGAAAGGCTGACAAAGCATCCCCATGACACACTTGCTCCTTTATGATCTAGAGGAGGGACTGTCACTGGTTGTCCACCAGCAGCACCAGCACTGGCAGTAGCTCACCATGGTGAGTTGCCATGGTAAGAAGTCCCAAGTGCTCTGAGTGCTGCATAATCTTCTCTGAGGAACATCTCCTTTTCTCATAAATAAATAAACACACACACACACACACACACACACACACACACACATATAGAGGATGCATTTACAAGAGCTGGTCCTCTCCTGTCCCCATCAGTCGTGGCTCATTGCATGCTGTATTTCTTTTGGACAGTCCTTGCAAGAAGTTTTATTTAGATCAATTTGCCTCTCTGATTGAGTTCATATGCTACATAACACTAGCAGATGATGCACTATCAGTGACTCTTTGATGAGGCAACAGAGATATCAAAAGATGCTCTGTGACCATGGCATATATTTGCTATTTGGAAACTCTTTGCTCTGACTTATTCTYCATCAGGTCTTGTTGAAAGATAACTGCAGCAAGGAGAAAGGGTCAAGATTTGAGCTAGGAAATCAGCCAAATAGATACAAAATTCCTCACTTGTTCATGTACATCAGCGACCTGCAGATGAATGCAMCGCTTACCTTTAAGTTTCAGTTCAGATGCCACTGCTTCTGCCTTTGCAAGAAYCAGATCCACAACAGCTACTTTAGCACCGGCCTCTCCCAATGCATGTGCAAAGGCTCTTCCAATTCCTTGCCCTCCGCCTGTCACATAGGCCACCTTCCCATCCAACCGCAGTCGATCAAGGATGCGATATCTGTTATAACCCCAGAAGACATCATCCTTCACCACTTCTTTCTAAAAAAAAAAAAAAATACACATATATACAAACTAAGCTACAAATTTCAGTAACACAATACCTCTTAAAGTTTCTGCCTATGAAGAAGAGGAGATGGCATGCACAGGGAGCCATGTTGTCTTGACTCATTATTTAATGTAAAAGGCAAGATTAATTCAGGCTGAAAAGCATCCTCATCCCCCACCAATATTATTCTTAACAGTGACAAAGTGGAAGGCAATGGAGCAAAACAATTATGATTTTGGAAGAGTCACTGACTATTCCACTTCCATGAGAGTAAGGGAAGGTGCTACTGACCTAGCTTCCACTGACCACTTTGGGAGACCCACCAGGTACTTCCTCTCAAAATATAGCTAATAAAATCTTACAGATCCTGAATAATTTAGAAATAACCACCTTTTTCAGCCTGCAGGTCAAATTTTGCCCTGGGGTTCGGCTGGCTACGGAAAGACATGGAGGCTAAGAGCAAGCTTCCAAAGGCAGGATTTGGCTCGAGCTGAGTGCAATCAAAATATCCTCACAAGGCTGGTGCACAAATAAAGATATCAGCCAATAACTTAAACCAAGCTGTCATCTGATTAGCTGCCATACATCATTTCCCCCTGACTGGAATCAAAATGGAAAATACAAGATGTCTAGAATATTGGTTTCAAAATGCCAGGAATTAGCAGTGGGTACAACTTTGGGAGCGCTCAGAAAAACACTCAAAAAGTTTGGGTCTGGCTTTACAGACTTGGACTGTTAAAATTCCACATGGGAATTCCCTCTTGCTGGTGTATGCCCATTGCAAGGAATAGAGCTCCTATCAAAAAAGATAAAAGCAGCACCTTCACCAGGACAAGTGAAACCTAAAGCCTCAAGTAAATGAAGCCCATAGAAACCAAGCTATTGACTATTGCTTGCTGTAATAAGCAGGGTCTCCTGCTGTTTAAGAATTTGACTTTCACTGTTTAGGTAAGGGCAAAACGTACATTTTTTAAAAAATGAAGCTATCTAGAGGAGTTGGGTGCCTTTTCTGGCTAGTCTGTAACCCCATACTCTCCAACTCAACTTGGTTTTCCTCAACTGTGTGGTCTCTTCTACAGGGAGAGAAATAGTATATTATATACCTCTACTATAAAGCTGTCCAGAGCAAGCAAAAGAAGCATTCATGATAATGAAAGCATTTTTCCAGTGTTACACTGATAAGCAATTGCTGCAGTAACCTCTCTGAAATTAGTAATACTCTGCTCCCCAAGCATAGAAAGGTATCACAGGCTGACTTCAGACAAGAGCAGCATTACTTCAGAAACATCGTGTTGATTTGATGTAGATGGACCCAAGTTCTGTCTCCTTTACTACATTGGAATGGGAAGTCCTCGAGAGCACCAGGCAGAAACTCCAGCTAGGAGTGTGCCCAAAAGCTTTGCAAGGAATCTGTATTTATTAGCCTGGACTAGTGAGAATAATTTTGGTAGTCCTGAAATTGGTAAGTCCATGCTGCATCAGACCACATCGCATCAGCCAAGRTTTAGCAGACATTCTCAGAAAAGAAATACAGACCTTAGATCCAGTCACTATACCCAGAGGTGCAAGGCTCCTTCGAATGATGCTCAATCCACTTCCCACAGGTAAAATAACCTGGAAACATAATGCATACACACACAGGCTCTTCATATGATTTATTTACTTGGTGGCTCATCCAAATTCCACCACTGCTAAGTGGAGTCCTTCCTTAGAACGTGGTAGTTTTTCTCCCACTCCTATTTTTCAGCTGAAATTCCTTCCAACCCCAAAATGTCAGTCATCTATAGTTGCTCATATTCCTACTTTAAAATCGCTGCTCCCACTAATGCCCAAAAAAAAAAAAAAAAAAAAAAAATTCTCTCTCAGTTTTCTAAATATATGCCAGTTTCTAGAATTTCTGGTGCTTTGGGTTTCCACTGCCTGGTTAATCGCTGTCATGAAGATATTCTGGTCTCGTTCTTGGAGTTTAGCAAACAATAATAGTAACACTTCTATGTTCTTCAGCACGTGYTAGGACATTTTTCCTGCACCTGCCTGTGAATTCTACCTCCTGTTTATGATCCCATTACTACACTATAGTGAAAACCCAGTGTTGCGAATTTGACACCATTATCAACTAATTAAAATAACATGTGGAAAAGCATACTATTTTCATGCATTAAGTGCTTAGCAGTAGGATTCAGGTCACAGAAAGCTGCCATGAGTGTTTTCTTCTGCTGTTGCTGAAAGGTGTTTTTTAATTATATTTGTATTGATTATACATAGAATAAACACAGAATCATGGGAGGAACTGTGTGAGCTGCAGATGAACAATGTTCATTTTCCTATGAGGGATGAACCAAAAGTTACTGGACAGGATCCTTGCACCCCAATGCCTCAGAAAAATAGGGACCTTTTCTGAATCTAGCAAGTCATGCTTAGGGTAAGGGGAATTATACTCATGTTTTATTTCATTAGGTACCCTGGACAATAGCACCAACAACAGAAAAAATTTAAAGGGTACATTGCAAAATCCATTGGTACTTGGACTACCGCTGGCACCATAGCCAATCGCACTAACCTGCTGAACACGAGGATCTGAATTAATCACTGTATTTAATTTTCTGACAGCTAGTACATTTTCATCAGATATGTTCTCCAGGTAGACTTGTCCTTTTATGAGTGTATTCTCCACACAGATCACTCCATCCATTCTCAGCAAGTGGTTATCCATGACAAAGCTGTAGTAGTTAACAGAATTCCTTTGATCAGCATCAATAAAAATTATATCAAAGTGCTCATCCTCAGAAAGCAATGCCTGGAAAAAAAAAAAAAAATGATGTTGGCAAAATACTGATCATTTACCTGCAATTTGAATGTCTTGGCTGTTAAACCATTTCTTTTTCAAAAAGTCAAATCAGAAGAAACCCTGTTTTTTTCAAAGGTAAGTTTGCTAGAATTACTTAGTAGCTTGCTGTGCTTTAGAAAGAGTTCTTCAGCAATGATTGTGCCCAAATCCCAGAGCCTCTCAAAGAGGGACATGGATATAAAAGTGGATCATTCCCCCCRATTTGTGGTGGGAGACAGCAGAGAACCACCAAGGCAAGGAGAAGGACACACCATTGACTGTGAAAGAAGATATCTTTTTTGAAAAGAGTAATGATCAACAAATTTGGAGTGGTGATTGCTGCATGAACCTCTAGGAAATAGAGGCATAAAGCTGACCCTGGGAATTGCAAACTAGTGAGTCCTGCCTCAGTAGCAAGAGAATGGCTGAAATCCCAATTAATAATAGAATTATAAAGCACATAAAAGAACAGGTCACAATAGAGATAAAGCAGCATAGCTCCTGTGAAAGAAAATAATGTTTTTTAATCTAAAAAAATGCTTTGGATGGCTCAGCAACAGAGAGGATAAAAGAGAACTGGCTGCTATCATCTAATTGGATTTTCAGAAATGTGGCACACCTTCCCTCCAAGCAGGCTGCTGATGATAATGTATAAAAGTGTTGATGGATGACCAGATGGGAGCCTTTACAGCCTTCTCCTGTGGCAGTTAATGCACTCGCTGCCCAAGAGGCTGTTATGGAATATTTCAGATTCCATCTGGGACTATTTAACTGCATCTGTGTGTTTCAATGAAACAACGGTTCATCTACCTATCTGGGTGAGCATAAATGCTTTCAAGTCTTGGCATTTCGAGTGAGAAGAGAAACAATTACTTTTCCCAGAACTCACTGTTTCTACTACAACTTCTAACAACACTTCTTGCGTCCAGATTTCTCTTTTGTGTTTGGAGATGTTTCGCACAATGAGTGATGAGCGAGAGATGTATAAGAGAAAGCATCAATAACAAATGGCAGCAGAATATGAACAAAAATAATTTGTTTTCAGAAGGTTCATGCCTCCCAAAGAGATTTCAGAAGCTGTTCTGAAGCAGGGAACATGTCTTTAAGAGAAGGGGGGAGAGAGAAGTTCATATTCTGCTCTACTGTGAAAATAGGCGTCATAGTGGGCTTGCTAGTGGTTAGGAAATTAAGCATGCCTGAACGCTTGGACAAACATGCTTAACTACAGATGACAGCACACAAGCTCTACATTCATTAGTCTGCATTTAGGACATTTTTTGAGATGATGGTATAATGAAAGGAGACATTAAGGCCAAATCTATGCTGTCTTGCAATAAATGTAACAAAAACTGGGACACCTCTTTTCCTGAGATTCGTCTTTTCATTTCATGACCAGCAGGGAAATTTTATCCTGGCTCATTCTTGGGCTGCACTTGTGGAAGACAGCAGGAACATTTCTGCTACTGTGGAAGAGCATCTTACACCACATTGTTACTCAAGCAGTCCATCCAGTTCAGCTAGCTCCTGAAGGGACAGAACAGGGAAGCTAGGAGAAGCTTGTCAAGAAAAGGATATGAGAAGTCTCGTTCTCCAGAGCTAGGAGCCAAAGGTAATTCCAACTAATTACCAAGACTTATCACTACTTTCTGACTTATAACCTCCTTGGTGGAAGAGGTGAGAGGTAGATGTTCAGAAGCAGATGTGGCCATCTCTGAACATATGTTCCTACTACTCCATGATAGGTCTCCCTAATGAAAAAGAATCTCACTTTATGTACTGGCTTCATTAGGTCCATATGGGGTTGTGTAACTCTCTGGATATTAGCTGGACTTTTCAGTCCCCTCTGCAGACTGTCTACCTGTTGACAGATTCTCTGCTTCTTACCTATCTCCTGGTATAGATAAACCACCTGTTAATTAAATGACATTCAGCCCAGGACAGCACCTGTGTCGTGTGTTTTGCCTTTCCACCATGTGTGTGTGTAAGGCTGCTTTTTGGAAGGCATTTCTCTTCAGCCAATTTATCAAGTCCTCAACGGCCAGCCATGAAGGTCACTTGGGCGCCTTTCATTTCCTCTAAGTCAAGGGCTTTGAAGTATCCCACCCTGATTACTTTCCTTGTGTTTTGTAGAGTTTCATGAGACATTGACAGCTGCCGTGAGACTCCAGAGGTGGGATTCAGATGCCTGAATGGTCTATAGGGTCATTTTAAATACCATAAGGTATACCACCTGGCTTACACATGCAGCTCCATGGGTCCTATTTTATATCCACCAGCTGCATATAGAAACCTCACATACCTAAGGGCAGCTAAAACAGTACTAGACATCTATATAGAGAGGCCAGAATCACTCCCTTGCAACTCGTATTGGGGCCCTGCCATCATACAAGTTTTGCAGCGTTAGGATTGCTATTGCTTTGTGCGTGTTTAGTTGGAAACAGCATCCAACTGGTAAAAGAAAACCTGAAATTCCTTAAGACCAGTTTTTCCAGAAGTTGTTCTGCTGGTAACTCTAGTTACTGGTGATATCAGTGCAGTGATGGAGAGAACAGGCTAACGTAACTCACTGCTGTGCCTCATAAAATGGGCAAAAAGGGTGAGAGGAGGACTWGACCTTGTTCTTGGTGTGATGGAGCCGGCTGGACCTGACCCAAGCTGGAACCTCACAGCCTGGTCGCAGCAAAAATGCCTGGTCCTTTGCTAGGAGAGATGCGGAGCCCAAATGTCTCCAACTGTGAGGAAAACTGAGATCCAAAATAATCTGCCTGCAAAATATCCTGTTGAAACTAATTTCCTGAATGTTTACAATGCAATCCATGCTCCTTGCTACAGAGGCAGCATAGATGGTAACAGATGGCAACAAGAAGTGTCTTAATTCAGAGCAAACTTGGCTAAAATTAATACTTTTGCTTACAATGAGTCACTAACTTCCTTTTGGATTAAAAAACATAGCACTGTATTTTATAGAGGAGATGCACCAAAAAAGAGCTTGAGAAAGAGCACAGCAACACTGTTGCTGGCTGCACCAAAAGACCAAGGAGAGGACATCCTGAATAAAAACATGAATGAAGCTTCTGYCAAAGTACAAAGAAAAAGCTGAGTATAGTCCTCAGTAACAACGCTCTCTCAAAAGACACATACAAACTCAGCCAGAGAAGCTGACTGCCCTCTTGCTTTGAAATGGATCACACAGTCAGCATATTTGTAATAAAGATGTACTCAGAACTTACTGCCTTCCCTATGTCTTGTTCTTGACCTAAATGTAATAGCAATCCATCCTTAGGGTGCASAGAATACATGAAAAAGTACAGCTTCCTTTTAAACACCATTAGAATATTTTACTGTATGTGGACATACACTCTTGTTGCTCCTAAATGCTATTCTATAGAGTACAGTTTATATTCACCGGCAAAGCTAAATCTCTAGGGAAGCTAGAGAGGGAATGCAATTTCTAGTAATAACAGCTCACAACAGTGAATACTATCCACTTATCCCCACAATTTCCAGCTATTTTGGACTCCTTTCTGAATTAACCTTTCATATCAAAAGGAGCAATTCTGCACACTAGAGACTCCGACACAATTTCATGCATAATTTATTCACTCAGTTCAACATTAAACGCAGAGTCCTTGACTTTGTCAAGGTGGATTCTGTTGGCAGACTTCACAAGCAGCAAAACAGGAGAAATGAGATCTGCAACTCAACCTCTTCACCTAGTCTGTCTGCTAAAAGGAGCAAAAAAAAAGAAAAAAGAACCCCCCTACATACTTATACAATGCCCTGCAATCAGCTGAATCTGCTGCAAACATGGTGTTTTTTTTTCATGTAGCATTTTCAATTTTTAAATGGAAGGATCGGAATCTCGAATATGAATAATTTCCTGGCAGTTTGCATTCCCACTGAGCTCAATTCTGCATCCATTGTTAGACCAAAAGTCCACTGGGAATTAAAGGGAGGACTTTGTGCAAGATCAAGGCTACCAGCAGCAACGGAGGCTGAGCAAAGCCCGTTATTCAGGCAGAGCACAACTGAGAGGAGTTTGGACTTAAAGAGCTTCTTAGGAAATGATTTTAAACACTGTGGCCCAGCATGGATTTGAAAGGGAGCTAATTCCCATGGAAAGCCACTAGCTTAACCTCTGAAGGGTACASTGAACCCAAGGAAAGGGTGTGTTTCACAAGGTTATGTCAAAATCAGTGAAGTCATAGGGCAGAGAGGCATGTGCCAGAGTGTATGCGAACAACGGGCTTTGGYTGGGATGTGAGACCCAATCTAGCTTGGCAGCTCCCACTCTGCAGACTTGGGAGAAGCCCCATCCTGCAGCACCTGGCAGGTTGCTGCTGCACAAGGACAGTTTTACACCTGTGGACGTGACTCTCTCATGCAGCAGAAAGGGTCCTCTCTCGCCAAGCAGTGCTGTGGATTATACAACCCTTGATGCTTTGACGGATTCAGTGTGCCAAGGCTGCTCCCATGAGCTGCCACTGCTGCCAAGGCTTGACGAGAGGGGGCAGAAATCCTCCCCTGTTCCCCTCAGTTTGGAAGCAAAATTTGGGAAAACTGTGCAGCCATCTCCAAAGAGCAATACATTCAAAGAGTGCTTGTGAAATCCTGGGCAGCCTTCTCTGCCCTCTATTTATGCTAGTGGGACAGAAAAGAAACCCAGCACAGCAGATACTCTAGCTGGCATAGGCAGCCCTTGCCAGGGCTTCTTCCAGCTCTCCCTGCATCTTGTCACACTCTTCTGTATGCCAGGTAACAGCAAATGACTTCAAACAAGACTCACCAGAGAGGCCACCCAGACGTGCTCATAAGCAGCCATCCAAAGTCATTGCCTGTTATTGCAAGCATCCTTACAGCACTAACGACGATAACACTGCTATATTTGCTTAGTTTTAAGCATATAAATAGGCTCACTGACCTAGRAGCATTTAAGCGTTTGAGTGGAACACTGAGTTAAGCAGCTAGCTAGTGCCAAGCTTCCATGACCTCCAAAATGCATAGTGATGCGTATGTCGCATGGGCAGTCCCTGGGATAGATCTGCTGCCTCCTCCCAGTGACGTGGCGGGATGAACTTCTTTCATTACAGTGGACCTAAAACTTACTTCCCGGTCTCTCAGAATTTATCCTCTCCTCTTTGAGGGAAAAAAAAAAAAAAAGAAAATGATGCTGCGCTGTCCTATTGCACCTTTTTCACTTAAAGTCGTTGTGGATAAAGGCCAGGAGYCCACAGAGAACAAACCTGATTCTCCTCATGCCAATGACAAAATATGCAGCAGGCTTATCAGTGCAAGCTCCGAGGCCACTGCAAAATTTCTGTCATCCTTTTACAGGCAGGAGACTCTAGCTGTAAGGATCTCAACTGCCAAACATGAGCATCTCAACGCCTATCAGCTTCAGGAAACAATGAAACTCCAAAGAACCTGCTGAAGCAGGATCAGGATATGCCCTCGCTTTGCAGTCAGAGGATATAAAATCAATTGCAACATTCTGGTTTAAGGATTTTGTTTTCATGTCTTTGCTCCCTTCTTTAATCTCTACACAGCATGTACTTTGCCTGCCTCTAGATATTTTAATTCCGTCACAGTAAGTCAGTTGCACAGAATGGGCACTAGAGAGCAACAGCAATTCAATTAATTTCACACTCACTGCAGGGATCTGGGATTTTAAATGCTGCACATTGCAGGTGATCTGTAACATTTCACTTATTCATATACTTGCCAAAGCTCTTTGTTTCCTTCTTATCAAACTTGGAGGTCAGGAAAGCCAGAGGTCAGAAAGCTCCCGGCCATCTCATTTTAGAAGAAAATATGGTACCCATTAATGCAAATAAAGTTACAATCAAGCTCACACTGACACTTCCAGATTGAAAATGGAATCGGATCAAATTGGTTTGCATTAATAATAGAAGGGCTATGCATTTAATGAACTTATCATGGATATCATCTGTTAGAGTTCTGGACCTGCTGCAGCAGCATGGAGATCCATAAAGTGGAATTGAAAGTGCAACTTCTCCAGCTGCTGCCAGCTACAAGCTTGTCTCTTCCTTGGAACAAAGTCACTAGTTAGAACAAAACTAATCTGGCTAGTGCATTTGCACATCTGAAGCTCAGCGTATTACTTTGGAAGAGGGAAGCCTACAATCTAATTCCCTGTGGTGATTCCCATGGAGAAAMGAGTGAGAGGCTACCATTAAATGGCAAACTTTATGCATTCAATTGCAAGACTTTCCCAAATCTTATCAACAGTGGGAGCAAGCAATCCCTTGCAGGGACTTGCCCACAAGGGCATGGATACAGCCTTCCAATTTGCTGTATTTGGCATTAGAGGTCCTGACCCAGCCTCCACCCAACTTAACTGAAGCTCCTCCACTAAGTCTGTGACCCTGTATTTAGGGCTTTGGATTCCTCCTGTCAAAAAGCTTTAGTATTTTGGTCAGGAAGGAGCAAAACTATCTCGTGTGACAAAGCTCTCCCATCGTGTATTACCTTCAGTAAGAACTAATCCTAGTGCAAGAGTGTGCTCACKTTTGCAAACAAAGATCACCATCCAGCATTTTATGCACAAGAAATAGGACAAAATATGCCTGCAAGAAACACAGTAATCAGGAGCTTCCAAATCCCTCTTCCTAATAACTTTACCTCCAAAGTGTCTGCTATTGGTCCTGCTCGCATGTTAATCTTTTTACCATCTGAAGAATAATCAAATCCTTCTTGGCTATTCACTCCGAGATAGGACACTTCTGCACATGCATAGATTTTTCCATCATCTGACAATTCTTCTGCAATAGCAGGGATACAGTACCCTTTAAGCTTGCCAATTAATAAAATCTTCCTGGCTTTGATCATATGAACAAACATCCTAAAAATTTGGCCTGTTGAAAGACAAGAATGAAATTTTAAAAGTTGTAGGAAAGACTGTTCACAATGAAAATTAAATGTACCTTTTAACTGATCATGTAAAAAAAAGCCACATTTTAAAACATTTTATAATAGGGGTATAACAACAGAATCTGACAAAATTTCATCTAAAATGCAGCTAAAAGACAACAGAATAAAGGGACTAGTTTTAAATGTAGAACCTTTATCATCAATGCTGCTATTGTTCAAGTGCTTGTTAAATAGTACTTGAAATATTGCATATTTTAACATTTCCCCCATACGAAAATGGCTTTAAGATGTCTCCATATTCTTTCTTGAACCAGCCTTAAAAAAAAATCACTACATTACCTTGCATTTGCTCTTAGAGTCATTATCCCTAGACAGCACCATCATTTAAGAAATTTATCATCAGTGGTGTCCTTCGAACAATGTATTAGTGTAATATATTATAAGAGTACTTCACTGTGATGATATATTACTCAAAAGATGGGAACATCTGGGAAGAATGAATCTAGGAATAGATTTAGTATAATAGGCTTTATATGCGAATACAAATCTGAACAGTGCTACTCTAAAAATGTTCAGCTTTTGGCCATAGGCCACCTCCACTGCACAAACACATAAGCCTCTATCAGATGGCCATGAAACCAAAAACAAAATGCCAATTTCCTCCTCCTTCCAATGACGATGATGGGGTTTTTTTGTTTTTTTTTTTTTTACACTAAATTTACAGAGCTGGGACTATGAATTACATAGAGAAGGAGCAGATGAGCTCTTGTGAGCATGCGTGTCAGCAGACATGGAGGCAGGAGTGGTGGGAGGACAGGGAAAAATCATACAAAAGGAACATCCACGCCTGCAGTAGGATCCCATCTCTCATTTAAAATTATTTTCCAAATTTCCTTGGCATTTCCATAGCATTCATCCTATCCCCATATCCCAATAGTGGATGATGAATTTCATYGACACCATTTACTCCAATCTGGTGCAATTTCATTACTTTTGTTGACCAACTTGCCATTTATATTGCCAGAGATGGGTTCTTGCTGCTGCAGCCAAACTTCAGCTCCTCCAGCATCTCCTTTGCCTCGTTCTGATGAGGTTATTCTGAAACAGGAGAGAAAGCAAAACATTATAATCACAGCCAAAATTTGAATATCCCTCAAATACACTGGCAAAAAAAAAAAAAAAAAAAAATCATGGCAGAATGACATAAAAAAATGGATAAAAAATGGAAACTTGGAAAATTTTTGCAGGTCAAAAAAAAAAAGTCATTTCTTCACAAACTGCTGAGAAAAACAGCGTATCTCCAGTTGTTATTTCACAGAAACCAAGCATGTGACAATGAGTCTGGATGGAAAAGGAGACTACTTATTAGGAAGAGAAGAGAACAGATCACTGGGAGAGGTCCATAGCCTCCAGACAGGTTAGATTGCCGTGTCTGAAGAAAGTAACCACAAGAAATGGCTGAGGATGTTTCTGCAGGCCAGAATTTAGAGCCATTTAAGYATTTTCCCTCCTCTTTACTCCCCCTCACCACTCTTCAGTAAAATGAGAAAGAATTCATAACCCGTATCAGACACACTCAGATAATCCAAGACTTAAAGACGAGAACATTTCATCTAACCTCTTTTCTGCCCCTCAAAACTGCTTTAACAACTTTAATAAGATAATGTATAGCTATTATCATACAGCTAGCTTAAGTCAAACAACTATCAGCTATTATTTCAGCAACAGAACTAACGTTCAGCGTTCCCATAATCCACAGCCTGGAACAGTTTACACAGTGTCAATTTTAGACAGAACTGTTTTTTTCCCACATATCAGAATTTGCGCTGATAAATGGGAATTGTTTAGCAGACCCACATGGCTGGGTAATATACTGTAGTTCAAAAAAGAATAATGAGGGTATCAGTTGGACTTCTGAATTAATGATACCTTAAATTAGTTTAATTAATTAGTTTAGTTACTAGAGTAATTTAGTTAGCAGATTAATTAATGTTTGTTGAGCGCTTGGAGATAAAAGCTGCATATAAAGTCTGCTATTAGAGGGTGGATCCAGAAGTCTTTGTGCATTTTTTTCCCCACTCTATTTCTATCATCACTGATTTAGTCTAGGGGTTCATACTTTGAGATCTTAGAAGGGARTCGTGTGGAGGCTGTCTTGTTTCTCAGCAAAATGTGGTCCAACACCTACCATCGGTCAGAAAAACATTGCCAGTAGCCGTCACAAAGTCTTCTATAACTAGAAGTTTGGACTTTTTGTCTTTCCTCCTCACCTCGAGGCCTTGCAAGCACGTGGACTCTAAGACATACCTGCCTGTGCTCACATCACTGTGTCTTTCYGAGAAATAAAGCAAGACCAGCCAAAGAGTCTAGTCTTTGCATGCGGATAATGCTCATTCTTCCTCATTCCACTGGTCTCCATGGCTGAGGTTTCTTCTGAGTAAAAGCTCTAAGAATATATTCACACCATCAAAAAAAAAAAAAAAAAAAAAAAAAAAATCACATGTTTACACAGAGAATCTGTACCTCTTTGAAGTTGCCATTGCATCCAGGTAAGGGTCTAGTCCAAGAGCAACATCAAGAGCTTTTTGTAAGTAATTCTTCAGCTGTTCGGGAACACATGTGTTCTTGAGAGTTATTTCTTTGGCTTTAAGAAGATTCTCAGCAATGAGTCCAGTTGGGGTTTCTGAAATCAAAAATGAAAGGAAGAATGGCGAATTTGCAACTGTTCAAATTCACAAAAGTTCAAGGTAAAGTTCAAGTTATAAGAAATTAGACTCCCCCCAAAAGTGCCTTTTTTTTTTTTTTTTTTTTTTATAGGGCTTGTGATGGAAAGCTTTTAAAACTGAAAAATATTATTCCTATTTTTTTTTCACTCTCCTATATCTTCACAGGTTTTTTTCCCCCCTCTCTGTTGATCCTTTTCTGAAAGGAAAGGGATTAGATTATTTCAAAAAAGAAGAAAATCCATTTTTGAAGCTCTAAGACAAATACTGAGTGCTCACAATAACTGCAAATGAAACCAGCTTCTTCAGGTTGTCACAACTTTTCTCAAGACCACAGAAAACCTCGAGGCCCCAGATGACACATGCTAGAGTTGAAATGATGGACCCAGGTGAGGGGAAGGGAAGCACGTTTCAGAAACACGTTTCAGAAAAGCTCTCCCAGTCTCCCAGTGCCCAAACACGTGCTACGTTATGAAAGCACCGGATGAGAGCAGATTTCAAAGGCACAAGACAGGCAATTTGAATGCATAACAGGGTGGAGCAGATTGCCCGCAGCATCGTTTTATTCCCTGCAATAGAAAAGCTGCAGAAGACTGAGAGAGGCAAGAAGAGTGACAGTCAAGGACACGTTCTCTCTGGCAGACCAGCCTGGACTGGCCCGTGCTGGGCAGGCGCTCCTGTGGGCCCCGTGCGCCCCTGGGACGGGTTGCTGGCAAGGTCTTTGATGTGATACRGCATGCCTGGATGCTCCATGTCCTCCTGGGAGACAGCTCTTTGCAGCCCACTACTGGGAAAGCCTGTGCTGAAGGCAAATACAACAGGATTTTTCAGCAATAACTTCTAATCGGAGGATCATTAAAGGATCAGTTTGAACTGGAGATGCACACGACTTCTCCTATTCTCCCCTTCCTTCTTGTCTACTTAAAATAAAATGCCTCTGAGAATATTCTCCGAACACTGAGTCTTGCTAGTGTCCTACCAACATCCTGACAATATTCCGGCACCAGCTTCCAGACAGATGAATTCCCACTGCTTTTTTTTTTTTTTTTTTTTTTTTTGTCAACTTTGCTGATTTTCATATCCAAACCACAAAAAAAAATATGTAAACTTTACATGTATACTTTACATGGGAACTGCAAATTGGGACCAGACTTAGAGGTCATCTAGATAGTATCATGTYTGTGGCAGGAGCCCAACCAGACATATGAGGTAGGCAGATTTAGGATGGATATAGCAGCCCCTGATCTACAACTCATGCTGATATCTCACCGTCAGGGGCAGCCTAAATCTCTTTCAGTATTTTTATAATTAATTGCAAGTACAGAAATAACTAACCCTTTCTTGGATCCTGTTAGTTTGTTGACATCAGCAAATTCCTCAGCCCAGCTACATGTTGTGCAAYGACACGTTGCCTTTTCACAGCTGAGAATTCACTGCTTCCTGGATGAGTGTTTCCTTAGGACCAGAGAGTGCAGAGGGTTGTGATCTGCCTCTCCTGCAGCCTGTGTTTGCCCTTGCTGCCAAGCACACTGAGTGTCTGTTACTAATGCAGGGGGGGAAAACAATCTTATAATCCATGTCTGATTTTAGTAATCAGCATGTTTCACTCCCGTGTGTGAGCAACAGATAAGGCAGCCCTGCCAATTGGGAAATTGGAATTACAGAGTGGTTGAGATTGGAAGGGACCTCTGSAGAACATYTATTCCAACTCCCCTGCTCAGGCAGTGTCACCTAAAGCACATTGCCCAGGACTGCATCCAGGCAGGTTTTGAATATATCCAAGGATGGTGCCTTATACAACCTCACTAGGCAATCTGTTCCTCATGTAGCCCTGAGCTGGACTCTCTTCAGTAGCTCCATGTCTTTTTTATATTGGGGAGCCCTGCTCTGTACACGTACTCCAGACACAGCCTCACCAGGACCGAGTAGAGGAGGAAGATCATCTCTCTCAACCTACCGCAACCCAAGACACCACTGGCCTTCTCATTCAAACGAGCTTATTCCTGGCCCATGGCCATCAAGACTCTCAAGTCTGTCTCCACAGAGCTGCTTTCCAGCAGATAAACCCCCAACCTGGGGCCTTGGTGTGTGTAGTCGTTTCCCACTAGATGTGAGACCTTGGACTTGTTGAACTTTGTAAGGTTCTTCTCTGCCCATCTCTGCAGCCTGTTGTGGTCCCTACYAGATACAGTCTTCCAGCCAGACTTCGGCAGCACTGACTACAACCCTGTGAGCTCTCCTAACCTTCTGGGACATTCAGCCAGTTTGCAGCCCACCTCGTCAACTGCTCTCCTAGACCAATCTCCTGTGCTTGACTACACGGATGTTATGGGAGATTCTCAAAAGCTTAACCAAAATCAATGCAGAMAACATCCACTTTTGTAACCAGTGTTATAACAGCGACCACAGGTGCCAAGAACCGTGACTGCAGGGAGGCAGCACGTGGTACATGCCAAGATCAAYGCTACATCAAAGATTATATAATCCTTGCAGGAAGCACTGCATTTTTAACAGCCCTGAAGATGCATCAGGCCAACAGCAGAGGTCAGAATTGCCTTTGACAAGACTGGCAGCTTGGGCAGGCTTTTCTCAAGGATGCAGGGTTTTGCAACCTGAGCACCAACTTGTTTAGCCACTTCCTGAGAAAAAATGCTTCATTTTTAGTGTCTATTTTTGTTCAACACTGGCAAAGTGGCTCCTCTGGCTGGCCGGACATTGTAAGCACTAAACTAACTTCATTGCCTGGTTGCCTCCTCATGTCTCTCTTGATAACAGCAGCTCTCTCCCCCAGCATACCTATGTATGGATCCTCCCTGATAATTTGTCTTATTTCCCCTTCTCATCTAATCCTGCATCATTTTCTTTCATGTATACAATAAAAATAAATAAAAATAAAAAGAGCTCACACASGGAAGGAAAGGGCTGTCAGGTCCAAAGGAGACAAAAACCTCAAGCTCCGTGTTTAAAGAAGACAAAAAGGGCTGCTTTAACCAGCCGCCCCAGCAGTTTCATATAAAAGATAACGTGCCAGTTCTTCAAATGGATGTCAGCTGTCAGCAGGGTGCTCTCCAGCATCTTGCTGGTTGGATGCTGAGGGCCCAGGCCGTGTGCTTTACAAGGAAGCTGAAGAGCAGGAGTCTCAGTTTCTGGTTTTCCCAGAATCAGGCATTTCTGGTGCATGATAAAATCAGAAATGTTTGGAGTGGAGCGGGGCAGCAGGGCTGGARGGCCAGAGTTCAGCTGCATTTTGAGCTGAAGGTGTCTAACAGCAGGACATGCAGCTCCAAAAGTAGAAATAAATCTGCAGCCTAGGCCTAATACAGTATTTCAGGCTTTCAGGTGGGAAAACAGAGTCCTCCAAAAATTTGGAAGATTTAACCTCCCCCACTCCCTGCTGCTAAAGCAGCCCAGGTCAAAGGAGCATAGGGATAAAGAGAAGGTCACTTACGGCAGCACAGCGGCCACCTTTGAGCATCCACATCTGCTTTGCAACAGAAATAAGGCACAGAAGGGTTCCCCTCTCCCAGTCAGGGCCAGAGCATCGGTGCTGTCATGTGGGCTGCTTTCACCAAGCTGTCACACTGCTCAGCAGTCAAGCACAAGTGTTTTGGTGGGAAGTGCTAGGTGCTAAACCCTTGCAAACACAGCTTGATCAAATCTGCCCAGGCTGCCAGACTTACCAAGGCACCGACAGGAGCTTATTGCAGCACTCACCACTTTGTCTCATGKTGTGAATCCACCTCAGCCCTTGCATTTTGCCTCGCAAGCCTCTTTATGGAAACCACAAAGCAACGTGCAAGCTATTCCCTTCGCCTGCCAGCGCTCTGCAAATGCAACTGCAGCCTATGAGGAAGTGCTGTATGTTCCTGCTTGGTCCCACAGGCATTGAACTCCAGTTATGTCATCCTCCGAGCAAACAGGTGAGAAATAAGGAAACAGTGGTGTGGTCTGTGCACACCTGTGCCACTCAGCAGCTCTGAATCCACCCCTGTGAGATGGGAAAAGCATCTGATCAAGGTTCCTCAAAGGCAAAAGCAGCCTTGGATTGGATCCACCAGTCTGAGTTTATGAGTGTTGCCACTCCYGCTCCCAGACCTACCATGGGGTGACCACTGTGGAGCTGGGCTTGGGCACAGATGTGCCCTAACCTCRGAAGGTTTGAGATCGTGTGGCAGCAAGGACCTGTGGCAGAGGGTGTGGRAGCCATGCATTTATTTTCCTACGTAATTAAGGACATTGTGTGTGGTAGTGCTAAACACTGACAGTCTGATTTAAAGCCCAGGGCAATTTAAAGGAGTCTGTCAGTAGGCTTCAATGGACTCGAGAGCAGACAGTGCAGGAACAAAGTCTTCAACATTCAGTTAGAGCAGCCCTAATTCRCACATGCAGTTGCTTATTTTAACAAACAGGCAAAAGAAGCAGCAAATATCTCTGTGTGGATGCCACATCAGGCATCCTGGGTTACCACAGAAAGCAAGGAAGCAAGGGTAAGGCTACAGAAAGAAAATATTTAGAAAGCACAAATCTCAACCCATCAGAAATTACCCACTTCTACTCACACCCATTCCTCCTACTACCTCCTTTGAGTTCCTGTGGATTTAGGAACCAATGTCCTCACCATCACCACATCTCCTCCTTAATCTGTCTCCCACCTCCTCTCCTGAAGCTTCCCACGTGGACCTCCTGGACCCCTGTGCTCTCCCTCATTTCCAACCCAGACGTGCACCCTGGCATTGCACTGTCCTGGTGCGATGCTCCCGGCTGCAGTTTGCATTAACCTTCCTGAACACAGGAGATCACAGAAAGCCCAGGAGCAGGCACAGGGAGCTAGCCTGGGTGCAAGCACCAAGAGGGGAGCTTACCTGCTGGGTAATGCATGTCGCTTGTTGTCCCCAGGCTCCGTGGATGTGTCTGCTGCTGTGSCTGGTGAGCGGGCTCCTTCATACGGGAGGCAGAGCCTCCTGTGAATACRTGGATAGAGCAGCTGCCCCAGGGACACAGTGATTATGGAAGATTGCTGCAGGCTCAGGCTGGGCTCTCCCGTCCAGGAATGCRTCCAGGTGGAGATTCAATAGCATCCGATACACGTGCAGAAAAAAAAAATGCATACTTTCGATGCCTTCACTTTACATAAGAGCTTGGGAACCCACTGACTTTCAAGGAGATCATCAGCAGTTTCATAACCTTCTAGTTACGTAGCATGGGTGCATGTCCTGGCCAAACACCCAGACATAGCACTGAATAACCAAGAACTTTGAACTCGAACCCCAATTTGTTTTCCTAGATGGTCTGGAGCTCTGAGAGCATCATCTGCCCTGCACGAGGACTTGACAGCTGCTGCATATCACAAAGGAACAGATATTGGAAAGTCAACGTATCAGCTTCTAAAAAGAAACAAATGACATTTTGATGCCTCTCAGAATAAAATGGGAAAATATAAATGGAAAACAAGTAAATGCTCACACACACAAAAAAAAAAACCTCAAACCAAATAGCATATGTCTCAACACTCCATAGATTGCTATTAATCAAAACAAATAAACAAGACAAAAAAGACAGATGTCCTTGCATACCTAAGATTACCCCAGCATATAATTTAGTAAAGAACAAACTGAATTAGACCCTGCAGCCACTGTGGAAAGCAAAGCAAATTTTGTTTGGATTAGGAGTTAAAATTTTAGATGAGTATTTGGTTAAATAGACAGGATAAGAGGTTTACTATTCCATCTAATCCTCCCACCACTAGCTTTGGAGGTGACTTTGAACCAGTTCTGCTCTAGTGACTCTGTTCTCCCTTTCTGTAAAATGAGGATAATAGTCTGTCCTTTTGGAAAGCCCTTTGCTTGTTTCATCACTAGACAGCAATGAAAGCTACCTGTTAGGAGTTATAAACACTAATCAACTGTCCCTGGAGTAGGGCTAAACAGCTTTAGAGGAGTTTTTTTCTTGTAGCTTTCTCCTGAACTGAATTTGGAATAAATCTAGGTTCCTAAATGAGCTCACCTTCCAGTCTTGGATGCAGAGAAAGCTCTTGTACTATGGACTCTTGAAGATCAATTTTTCCAGGCTTTGATTTTACGTCTGTTTTCAACCTTCTTGACCTTTATGTATGAACAAGAATAGCTTTCAGAAAAAAAGAACAGCCAAGAGAAAAGCAAAGATGGATTTGTACCTTCAGGCACTGCTGGTGAAACCAGAGGAAGACCTTCCTCTGTGCTCAGCAAGCACAGCTTTATGCATAAGGAGCATTCGGTGTGAACAGATAAACCTTCTAAATACCCTGGCAGGAAGACCATACAGAAAGATGAATGGTGTATCCCTGCATCCCGTGGGGAGCAGGGTGCTGGGCTGCCCTCAGGATTATGTGTCCAGTCCAACAGTGTAAAGGGCTCTCCTCTGCTTGCCTGCACCTCGGCGTTTCATGGAGAGATGGGAATTGTCCTCTTTACGCGAACCCAACTTGTTGTGTCCTTATACACCAACCTCAGGAAGGCCAGTTCAAATGGACCTCAGCATACTATAAGAGACTATAACATATGGCTAGTCCTTCTATGTTTATGAGTGGAACTATTTATTTAAGTTACCTAGGATAATAAGCTTTACTAGAAGATAATATATATCTAGAAGATAACAAATTTGGGGGGTTTTGTTTGTTTGCTTTATTTTTGTTTCAGCAGAAGCAACAATGCTTAATGCAATAATTAGGTAAAAAGTGCAAAAAAGGTCTGGGAGCCCAAAGGCAGGGAGAAATCAAGATCCCGCTACCTAAAACACGTCGCTAATTTTGAAACAGCTCCACCGTAAGCAAACTTCAGCATTTCGGTGAAACTCTGTGAGAAGCTGTGCCTACTAGGCAAAACTATACTGGTGCCTCCATCAGCAGGGTCAGGCCACAAACTCCATCAGAGGGTTTTTTTTGTTTGTTTGTTTTTTTTTTTTTTTTACGACAACAACAAAAGATTAAAAGAAAATTAAAAATCATTCCATATCTCAGTGAAAGCAAATTGAGAACATGAGCTCAAAAGAGTTCTAAATTACTTGTGTCAAGCACCAACACATGTCTGATGCTGTCTCACCCCCTTAAGACAAGGTTAGAGCCTTAGTCACACCAGAGACTCCACACCACAAAGGAGCTCCTGAACAGCCACTGAGACTCACACAAACTGACTTTCATAACATTAAATTTCCTGTAGGGCATCACAACAGAATTTAACTCATGCACTCCTATTGTATTTCCTAAACATTATAAAACTAACTGGTTATACAACTCTACCCTGGGTCTTGCACGTGTCTTCTAATGATCTTACCACCCCTAGCTTACATCCCTCGATTAGATAATCCTTGTTTTGTAATTGTCTTCCCCCATACAGATGAGACCTCCCCTTCCAAAGTCTGGTCAAACTGAAGCCTTTAAAAAGCATCTCAGATGCGCCCAGTTCTGTGCACTTTCCTAGCACAGAGATTCCTACCTTGGAGAAAAATGCCGGTGTCTGGAGAAGTCTTCGCAACTGCCCTGGCAGCCCGTCCGGAAAGGCCCCGGCGGACAGACTTCCAGCTGGTGCGCGTCAAGAGCACTTGGTGCCGGGTCAAGAAGGGAGAAGCCCTTTCTGACTGCGAGGACGAGATAACCCTCTCCGAAGCCAAAATGTAAGTAGAGGAACCCATTAACTTATGATGAGCTGCATGGCTCTAGTCAGCCATGTTGCCGTCTCTTGCTTCTGCACCACATCTCAGGTGGAAGATGCTCTTGTAGCTCAAGGCCATCTCCATTCTGTGTGTGTACAACTGGGAGGTGAGGTGGCTGCCATTCTGCTTGCCTCAAATGGGTTCAGTTACAGAGGGTATTTTACCAACAACATGAATTTTATTCATAGGGAGCTTTTTTATACCTCCGAGATACCTGTGTGGAGCTTCCAGGCAGTACTTGAACTTTTTTATTTTCCTTGTGAGCACATATATTCTTTGTRTGAGAAAGTTCACAAATGGTTGCATGAGAAGGATGCATTGGTAGAGAGACAATTGCAGTTAAATGAAATGCCTGGATGGGAAAAACAAGCACAAATAATTAATAAAAGTCCCTGAGAGGAGCAAAAGCACAGCGCGTTTCTCCAGTTGTGGAATTAATCTAACCCTACTTCAGACAGAGGAGATGAGTTTTTCCCCAGAAATAAATACAGCTTTTCAAGATACTACATTTCTCCAGTTAATTACCTTTTAATCAGAGTATCCACCTTTCATTAGAGTCTGAGTCCCCATTGCCTCCTTAAATATGAAAGCCTCTTTAACRCGATTATATTTTGCATATGGCTTTTTTTTTTCCCAATATTTGTGGTATTCATGCTATCATGTCTAATTGTTTTCTCAACCAAGCCAGTGTGTTCTTCACCACCATAGTATGTTCAGCCTCAAATATTCGCTTGCATTGTCATAAAGCCGGCGTGCAGCAATAGGTGCTGGCTGCTGTGCTGTCCAACACACAAAMCCAGTTCTGCTAAGCAAGACAAAAAGATCCTGTCTATTGGGGTTACTTCCTGAGGATGGATGCAAGGACTGTTAAGTTATAACGCATTATGATGTATGCAATTATGCTTTTTCTATTTTAAAAGCCCCGGAAAAAAAAATTGGAAGACATAAATCCCCACCTTTTTTATTCAACTCTTACAAAAATTAGGGACAGACTTAAAGACAAATTGGCATCAAAGAAATCATAAAAACACATATTTAGACCTATAAGAGGAAGCTGAGGCATTTGTAAAAGGAAATTTGATTGCCAGCGAACCATCTGCTTATTCAGAAAACAAGATGAAGGTTCATAGAAGTTTTCAATTTTTCTCTAAACACAGGTTTTATATTAAATACCTTCCGGAGATTAATTCTGCCTCCCCCCAGCCCCCCCCCCCCCCCCAATCTTTGGATTTTCTTTCTTGCTTCCCAACAAAATTAAAAAAAGAAAAAAAATAAAAAACAAAAACAGAATAAACCTACAAATAGCTTTTTCCCTGGCACCTACAGGAGAAGTGATAACTAGACGGCAACGTAGACTGCAACGCAGTTTCTTCACTCTTTTAGCCATATGCTACATGCCATTTTTGAAAGATCTTGCTTAACCTTTAAAACACCAGGGAAATGGATTATGGAAAATTTTCCCCACTCCCAAATCACTTTCTTTTCCCACCYGGGAACACTTCCTACTTCTGCCATGTCTCTTTTAAGATAGAGTGACCCCCAATTCAACCCAACTGGAGGGTTGTTGCATGCAGGTTAACAAAGCGACTAACCCCAAAGCACCCTGCACGTTCCCGAGCTCTGGCATCTCCATCCTTTAGCCAATCCAGCACACTGAGTACAGAAAAGAAAGGCAATGATTACGAACTGTGTTTTCTTATCCTTGGCAGAGGAAAATGTGTTTCCGAAGACGGGATTTCCTGGACCGTTGAAGCTCCCATCTATTTTTGCTACAAAGTGGTAGAGACGTACAACATCCTGGACCCCTCCAACACCACGCTCCTTTGGGGCCACCTTGCTGACCCCCAGCAACTAGAGCTGGCCACCAGCAGTAAGAGGAAGCTGAGGCGTTTTATCGTCATGGATGAAGTGGTCGACAAGCTCTACGGCTCCCAAGTGAGACGGTACTTCGAAGCCAATAACGTTCAATACGAAATCCTTGCGCTGCCTACCACCGAAGAAACGAAATCCATGGATCTGGTCTTGAGCATCTTGCGAGAAGTCCAGGCCTTCAGCATCGACAGGCGAACGGAGCCCATCATYGCCATCGGAGGAGGGGTTTGCCTGGATATTGTAGGACTAGCAGCGTCCCTCTACAGAAGACGCACACCCTACATTCGCGTCCCAACCACCCTCCTGTCCTATGTCGACGC